TAAATTGCCAAAATCGAGTTAAGATGTATCATTATGTTTTAAAAATGAAATAGTTACAAGATTGTGAAATTTAGTAGATTATCTAGTGGATACTGGGGGTTATATCCAAAACATTTTTGCACCCTAATAATTGAGAATGACTCTGTTCCAATGCATCTGGCATAGTGGGAAACTTACTGATTCCCCACACAATACAGAGACTCAACTAGTGCTTGAAATATTTTTTTTAATTGGTTAATCAAACCTGGCCATCTGCCATGAACTGTATTTGTCATCTGGATTCAGTAACAAATGCTTATAAAGATGTGGTAAAAAGTTCATTGTTTGTACTTGTAGTGAAAAATGTTATAAAGAGTAGAGTTACCTCTTGTACTTTATATGCATAATCTGTGAATGTATTTTTATGAATGTGTTTCATCTGTAAAATACAGATGGTACCAATTATAATTACAAAATATGACTATTAACAGTTTGTGGAAGAAATACATCAACTCCCTCATGAGAGTTAAGAAAACAGTAATCCCTAATTATACAAAAAATTGGCAAATCTTAATACATGATTGAATAAGGACAAAGCTGGTTTCTTAAAAAGTGCTGCTTTTTAAATGCCTTGGTGGCTATAAATAGTTGATTTGTTTTTTCTCTTAGCAAAGAGCTAAGAGTTAGCATTTTAGACTGAAGTGTTACCCATTGCTAATCCCAATTTCAATCTTTCTTGCAGGCTGCTGATTTGAGTAAACCAATAGATAAAAGAATATACAAAGGAACGCAACCTACATGTCATGACTTCAATCACTTAACAGCCACAGCAGAAAGTGTTTCTCTTCTAGTGGGCTTCTCTGCAGGACAGGTGCAGCTAATAGATCCTATTAAAAAAGAAACTAGCAAGCTATTTAATGAAGAAGTAAGTGAATGTCTTAATCTTGGTGCATGCAAATATACTTGCATTCTTTATAGCATTTTCTTCATGTATGGTATAATTATTTTTTTACTTGGAAACAATTTGCCCTGGTGAATATTGAATACAACAGTGTATATTTATAGTACTAGTGTAAAATAGATGTGTTGGCTTTTTCTTCCAGCCATTCTTCCAACTTCCTATCCTTACAATGAAAAATGCAAACATACTATGTTAAAGCAGATAAGGGTATACTGTACTTTGATTGCAGCCAGTTTTATACCAGGCAATTATTCCTCTGTCTTAAAGCTGTATTTGTTCCCCAGTTTTAATTAGCATTCCATATGCTTCATTGAATTTGCTAAGATAGTTTGTAATCATGGTTAGAAACCTATTGCAGACTAAATAATAATAACAACAATAAAATAGATATGTGCAGAAAGCCTGCATGGATGAGTGTTTCTTTGGGAACCTGACTTTTTTTGGTTGTTTTAATGCTGTGTAAAATGAGCCTTGGTATGAACAATGTTTTTCATGTACATTTGTTTAGATAAAAATAAGGTAGGTTTAGCTATTAGATTGTTATTCTGCTATGTCATCCTGTCAGTGAAAGGTAATCTGTTGATAGATAATTCTCCTCCTCCAAGCTATTTTTCAATTATTACAAACCCATCAAAATAGAAAAGGAATAAGCTGGGGAAGGAAGTTTGCAGTGAAAGGAGAAGAGAAGAGGAATTCCTCTCATACAGTTTTGTGAAAGAAAAGGATAGAGGAAAGATTTTGATTTCTTTTTGATTTGTTTCCTTAGGGAACTTTTTAGAGACTTCAGATAGGAAATAATCTTTCAGTGAGATTAGAATCCAAGATGAACAACTAAAACAATCATAATCTTTTCATTCTATAAAAAAGCACCATAGAAATTGAAAGGATGAAAATCAATGTATATTTTCCGAGAAATTATTATGCTAGCTTTCATAGAACAAAAACCTATACAATTTTGTTTAAATGCCCTCTTCTCCCCTCTATCACCATCATCTATTCATTGATTTTATCTTTTATTCATAACAATTTATAGCAGGGACTCTTGCAGCTTGTATATAAGTTTATCTGCTGGACTACAATTCAAGACTATCCTCCCCAAAGTTTTCAGTACAGTCTTTCCTTTAACTCACAATTAGCACCAAAAATTGTGGCTCCTGATGAAGAAAAACTAGCATTATGGCCACCTACTTACTCATCTATAAATATAGCCTGTTTAGCTTCAGTTGTACAACAAAACACAACACTCTCATGCTATCTATTCTAAATAAATAATGGAAGAAAAAAATGCTGAGATGGAATTATTCTAGTTCATGCTTCTCTAAATATTACAACAACTATATAAATTAATCCATGTTTACCATAACTTGAATAATTCTAAATGGATGGAGGCAGTACCTTTATTGGGGCCAGTTAAAGTTGTATGAAATCATTTCAGGATATTTAATTTCAAAATCTTTTCATAAGGAAAGATGGTTAACGTTAAAATGGTGGGTGAATGATTTTGTATTAGTTTACATTGTTAGATGGTGTAATGTGTTGCTTTCACAGGACTGGAATAAACATTTAGCTTTTATAAGTAGATACAAGCATTATGATGATTGTCCACTATGGCACCTCTATGTTAAGAACTCCAGAATACACCTATGAAATTTATATCCCAGTTAAAGGGATATGATACTGTTTTAGAGAAAGAAGCAATTTTGTTATTTTTTAGCTGCCTTCAAAAATTATTAATATTGTCTGTTATTTTCTGTGCCCTATGTTTCACTTAAATGGAAATGAATAATGACTTGAATACTGTAATATTTTAAAAAATATCAGAAAATCTAGTACATAGGTTCAAAATCTATGAGGGAAGGGAGGGGAAGGGAAAGGAGGGGAGGGAAGCTTTGTGTGTCTAAAATTTCATTTCAGATCAAAAACTCTAAGCCAGAATTTAGTAGATTAGTATTTTTTCTTTGGAATATGTGTATTTTCCTGAGCCTGATTTTATACTAAAGATGTTAATGACAAATCTGGCTAGTTATTATATTCTTATTTCATATTTATAAGAAAAATATTATTTTAACTTAATTTCCATACCATTCAAAATCTTAATGAGTTGTCAAGAAGGAATATGTATTTTTGACAAGGAATTAATATTACATGAACAATGCAGAACTGTGATAACTATATTTTTCTTTTGTTTTTCAGAGGCTAATAGACAAGTCCAGAGTAACTTGTGTAAAATGGGTGCCTGGTTCAGAAAGTCTCTTCCTAGTAGCTCATTCCAGTGGCAATATGTACTTATATAATGTAGAACACAACTGTGGTACCACAGCTCCACACTATCAGCTACTTAAACAAGGAGAAAGTTTTGCAGTCCATACGTGCAAAAGCAAATCTACACGAAACCCTTTACTTAAATGGACAGTAGGTGAAGGTGCCCTAAATGAATTTGGTTTTTCTCCAGATGGAAAATTCTTGGCATGTGTAAGTCAGGATGGCTTTCTTCGTGTATTTAACTTTGATTCAGTTGAGTTGCATGGTACAATGAAAAGCTACTTTGGAGGACTGCTGTGCGCATGTTGGAGTCCAGATGGAAAATATATTGTAACAGGTGGAGAAGATGATTTGGTGACTGTCTGGTCTTTTGTGGACTGTCGAGTGATAGCTAGAGGCCATGGACACAAATCATGGGTCAGTGTTGTGGCCTTTGATCCATATACAACCAGTGTAGAAGAAAATGATCCAATGGAATTCAGCGGCAGTGATGAGGACTTCCAAGACCTCCTCCATTTTGGACGAGATCGAGCAAATAGTACGCAGTCAAGATTATCAAAAAGGAACTCTACAGAGAGTCGCCCTGTAAGTGTAACATATAGGTTTGGTTCAGTAGGTCAGGACACACAGCTATGTTTATGGGATCTAACAGAAGACATCCTCTTCCCACACCAGCCCCTCTCAAGAGCAAGGACACATACAAATGTCATGACTGCCACAAGTCCCCCCACAGGAAGTGGTGGAGCTAACCCAGGAAGTAATGGAAATAGCATCACAACACCTGGAAACTCTGTACCCCCTCCTCTTCCACGTTCCAATAGCCTTCCACATTCTGCAGTTTCCAATTCTGGCAGCAAAAGCAGTGTCATGGATGGTGCCATTGCCTCTGGTGTTAGTAAGTTTGCAACCTTATCATTACATGACCGGAAGGAAAAACACCATGAAAAAGATCATAAGCGAAATCATAGTATGGGACATATATCTAGTAAGAGCAGTGACAAACTGAATCTAGTTACTAAAACCAAAACAGACCCAGCAAAAACTTTGGGAACGCCTCTGTGCCCCAGAATGGAAGATGTTCCTTTGTTAGAGCCTCTTATCTGTAAAAAGATAGCACATGAAAGACTGACTGTGTTAATTTTTCTTGAAGACTGTATAGTCACTGCTTGTCAGGAGGGATTTATTTGCACATGGGCAAGGCCTGGTAAAGTGGTAAGTTTTAATCCTTAATGCTGCATCAAAGAAATAGAACTTGAATAGGTAGTTTTTTTTCTCAAAACATAAGTGAATGTTGAGTATAAACAATCTTTACGCTTAATGTAAAAATTATTTCCTCAGAGCCATACTTTTGGATACTGCATGCTGTATTTCTGAACAATTTGAAGTGTCTGGCCTAGGTGAAGTCCTTTTGAAATACAGTTGCCTTTCAGCCAGAGATGTGTTGTGTATCCAAAGTGTCAGTGATAGGTTTCTTATATTTTCAAAACTATTTTTATATAACAGAATTGAAACAAATCTAAATTAATTACTGAGGATAAAGTTGCAAGGGCATTCAGGAATATAGGTTAGCTAGGCTGTAATTTAATCTACTATGACATTTTGGACAGCTGAATTTGAAACAGTTAACTGATGGGAGTCAATAAACAATATATTCTCACCTTTTTTGAAAGCTATTCATAGTGATGGGTTTTTAATTCTTCAGTGATCAGGATAATTTGTAGTGTCTCCATTTAAAATTTGAATAAACTGATATTAAATATACATTGTAATATTCTGACTTTTAATATCAATCTTCAAGCATTTGTGCGTAAGATCACAAAAGTCCCTTAGCAGAATGTATCCCCATCCCATAATTTTCCTTGTCACTTCAGATTATTTTCATGTTAACAGTATTTTTAACTCATGCATTGTTCATTAAATCCGTAGGCTTAAATCTGGCAGTGGTAATCTTTTATTTCATATTTAACAAAATTAGCTATTTAAATTTTTAGCACTTTATGCTGATAAAGGTTGCCTTCAATGTTTATTGGCAATTTGAAAACTGTAGCTAAGATTTTTTTAAAAAAAACTTGAGGTGATTTCTGTGCACTCACTTGGCCATCCTGGGCTCAACCTCCGCAGACTATGATTTCTTATGTAGCCATGTATAAGGCTTTGGGGAAATCTTTTATATTATATAGTCCAACACAATAGAGCTGGAGCTAGAATCTGAACTAGCACAATGCCATTTGTTATTGGGCAAACTAGAGAAAATGGTATCCAAAATGGCTGATAGTTGACCTTTTTTGGAGATGTAGTATGGGGCACTTTTAAAACATCTTCCAGAGAATAAGCCATGAAGTACTTGACAGTTGTCAATTCCTGGAGTGAGCAGACTTCAGAAAATTATGACAAGTAAAAGTTCTTCCAATAGAAATCAAAGCCTGTTGGGACTTACAGTTTCATTATTGTTCTGTAATGTGTAATAAAATTTTATTCAAATGTTAAATTCACAACAAACATGCTCTGATATGTGGTCTTTCCTGTATGCCTTATCTTGGATAGACAATCTAAAAATATGACATTATTTTCATGTAGGTGAGACAAGCAAACTATGAAGATAAAATCTCATACTTTATTCATTTCCGTTAAGATAATTTCCATCTTAGTTTATGCAGGGGCCAAAGAAAGCTGATAGTGATTTTGCAGATGTCTGTTGATAAAGTGGGAAAGTATTTCCCCTCTGTTTAATGTACCAGAGATTCCAAAGTAATTTAACACTGGCTCTTAGGTTGCTTCCATTTTTATTAGGTTGAGATTCTTAAAGGAGCTGAAGTGAACTAATGAGTACAACTTGCATATAGCAACAATTTAATTTGAAGGACATTTCAAATATTTCAGAGATAGAGTATGCAGTATCAAAAGCTAGGATTTCTATATTTGGCAAATGCAGAAATCTTTAAGGTAAGTTTCATGCTGATAGTATTCATGAGGTCTCTGAAAACTAATATTGCACACTGTTGTAAATGCCATTTTATTTAGGATGCGTTTATTTAGGATGGGTTTCTTATTGCTGTTGTTGTTCTTTATTTTGCAGTTGGTGAGCTTACTTAGCTGGCCTAAACTAGCAAATTAGGTGATATGTTTACAGGGTTCTGGCCAGGGTGGTCATTGTAACAGAAACCTTGCTTTTGTTTTATAGGAGAGCACTTAATTAAACTCTATGCCTATTTAATTAATCTTCAAAACAATGGTAACATATTTCTTCCCCTGGGCTAAACACTGCCTACATTTATCGTATCCTAGGTTTATTCCTTTTAGCTTCATTTTAAAGTCTTTAAAGCTGCTGTATTCCTGCACTGTTATTTGTCTACAAGGATCCTAGCATATAGTTTCCACTCATCCATTTTCTGCTGCTAAAATTGTTCTCTGCCTTTGCTAGAAGATTTCAGTTGGATAAAAGGGTCCCAAACCTCCAGGTTGAGGAAGAAGACTCAACCACGTTTGCAATTTGAATCTTCATGGCTATTGAGCCAGCCTTTTCTATCCCACTCCCTCCCCTTTGCCAGACTGGTGCAGTAAGGATAGCAGAAGAACAGATTAGAATATTTATTCATTAGAATAAACTGCTTTGGTCTGGCTGTTCTCTGCCTTGCTAAAGTATCTAATTATGGTTTCAATAGCATGGACCCATCGGTTAGAAAGAAACACTGTCAGATTGGAGTAAGAAGATTTACACTACAGCCTTAGGTTTTCTTACTCTGCATTTGCATGTTTTGAGCTTCCTCGTGTCCTTTTTCAAAATACAGTTTAGACACATGTTAACATGTAATATATTGTGTTCAATAAAAATACACAGGTCATGTTGCACATAAAAGCAACATTTTAGAACTGCTGATTTATGGGAAAGCTGCCTATTCTACTGGCATGGAAAGTTTCTCAGTAATGCTTTGTAAAAAAAAATACATTGCATCACTCAGAAAGTTAAGTTGCTCATGAATCTCTTGGCCAATTCCTTGCTTGTTAGAGACAGCAAGAAAGTTCTTGGATTTCTTTTGTGATGCTAGTCACACCTAGATTTCTATCAGGTATTGCCTTCATTGACAGATTTTATCCACCGTGATTAGTAACCACTTGTAATATTCAGGAAACCTGCAGCTATTTACCTTTGAATATTCTTAGTATGATTTGACTAACACTAAAGGTTGAATTGAATGAACTGGCAGCATATACCCTGGCAGAGTAAATGTGTTACCAATTTGTATAATAAAATTCACATTAAATTTACAACATTTGAACCATATACAAGAAAAAAATTAGATCTAAATTATAGAACATTTTCCAATAAGCAGCAACTGTAGTACAGCATCATTATTTAACTTAGTTCTGTGCTAAAATATTGTACAGATATTTTGTGATGCTATATTAGAGTGTGATAAATTCCATTTGAAACTAAATTTTCATTGGCAAAATGGATTTATTGAATGGAAATAAAAAATGCTGTGGAAAATGCTAGCTATGATTGGCGTAATGCTAGATTTAATGATTTAAACAGGATCTGGGGATTCCTTGAAATGTTCTTATACATAATTATTGGGATGAATTAATATAAGTTAATTATACCAGTCAAAAATTAGCCAGTTCCTTCTGTGAAGCCAAAAAAGAGTAATTGCCTCCATGTGGAAATCCAAATTAGAAAGAAAAGAGTCATGCTAAAGCATTTCAGAAATGCTTGATCTTTTGGAACTAAGTAATGTACTTGAACAGACCATGTATGTTTCCCTTCTATCACTTTAAAGCTACTAAAAAATAACTGCTGGCCTGCTTATGTTGAAAGAAAGAAAACCAGCTAATTTATTGTCACATAACTTGTATAAAGTTTAAAAGCAAGATTTTTCCCTGCATTTATGAAATCTGTATACATGAATTTGTTAAGACTGACACGTTAGGTTATACTGTACAAAATTGTAATGATATAGTGAAAATCAACAGTAAATTCATATGTATTTTCTTTATAAACGTCCATCTGATTTCTTGGCAATTTAAATAAATTTCATAAGAGCCTTTCTAACATAAATTGTTAAATTAAATTGACTGTTGCAATAATAATGAAGCTTTAATAAGTATTGTTCATATATTTATAATTTTTAAAAATCATGTTTGTTTCATACTGCTTATTTTTTAGCATTTTATGTCACTGTTTCAGCTGAAGAACCCTACTAAATACTTGACGTTACAACTTACCGGGGTTGTCCTCTGTATACTGACATTAAATAAAAAATGAGACTGAATTGTAAAATATAGTTAACTTTCAGTAGTGCTTCTCATGCCTGAAGTTGCAATGTTGTTTTGCCACAGCTGATACTTCACTAAATGCAACAGGCAGCTTTCTGAAAAACTGGCCACTGTAACTGCTGCTTCTGTAACTGCGGTTTTTATAAATGAGCCTAAATGAATGATACAATCTCTTGAGTATTTCATACCCATCTCAAATGTTGGTTCAAGAGTTCTTTTATCATACTAATATATCATAAGTATATCCTGTTCAGTTATTATTAATTGAAGGTGCATCTGATACGTTGGTATTTCCAGTTTGAATGACCGAACCATGGGGTGAAAGTTATCTAAATCTTATAAAGAGCTGTTGAAATGAAAAAATGATATCTTCTGGATTCTATAGGAGCTCTTTTATTTATCAACTGTATTAGTTAAATACTATGATTTGCTTATCAGAATTAGGTGCATAAAGAGGCATTCCAAAACTTAATTTGGCAGAATCCTAAGTATATGTATCAATTTTCATATAGATTGTTGATATTGCTAGATGTTGCTGACCCAATTTTAGTTTTAGTTGGATTGTTTTAATCATTTTGGAAACTAAGGTGTGTTTTCAAAGTGGTACTTTCAAAATGAAGTTCCAAAGTACCCCCCCCCCAAGTTATTCATCTAACACATTCACTTTACTAATAATTTATTTTTGGGGAGAGTATGTAATTTTCTTCACTATTACGTTACAGTATAAATACTACAAGGCACTATTTAAAACTCACAGGTGAATAAAACAATTTCTTCCTGCTGACATAGAAAACCCAACACTAGATGGAACATTGTTTTAGCTTGTCACAATAGCAAAATTTATCTTGTGCCTAAATTCTAATTACATCTTTCATATGTAAGTCCATAGGGATGGTTCATGAAGATTATTTAGATTAATATTAAAATAGATTGGTCTTGTGTTTTGAAAATTAAGAAAGCCATAGAGCTTTCAGGGGTGACAAGGAATGGGGGAAAATGCACTAAGCTTTGTAAATACTGTGACTGCCCCTGGAAGTATGCTACATTGTCCTAAATTAAATGCTATGTTGTGATACCCTGCGTGTAGAGATAAATTGTATTTACCATATAGGTGCAATTGCTGTGATATTATAAAAGACAGGTCTAGTCATATGGGATTAGACCTTCTTTTAAAAGTGACCCAACAGTTACCCAGTTTATGAATTAAACACATGCAGTTAAACACTTTTAGGAGTGGAATTTTCATGCAGAACCTGATGTTTTGTTTAACATTAAACAAAAGAATCCCCTAATTTTAGAGCAAATTAATCTTATTCTTTTGTTCTTATGTGTTGTCAGACTTCTTCTATGTCCTTATTTGTGTGTGTAGAGAGCGACCCATCTATTAGATAATCTTTTGTCTAAACCTTGCTTCTTCAACTGGAATATTTATTTGACCAAGAAAGTTACTTGACTTATTCATGACACTGCATGCATGCTTTTATTTGTTAATCAATTTATACTTGGTTTTTAAAAATATACTTGATTTAAAAAAAACAATACTATTGAACTGTATTCTTTTTATGAAGATAAATTATGGAAAATGGTTTGATAAAGAAGCATATATGAAAAAATAGATTCAGAAAATATTTGTTATCTCTTAAAAGTAGTTCCATCCTTAAGAGAACGTGCTACAGTATGTCCTACTAATTCCCTTTCATAGAGAAATAAGCATCTTATTTTCCCTCTTCCATGCATAAAAGTGAAGTCACTTAACAAGAGAAAGTTGTACTAATGAAAAGTATTTATTTATGTTCCTTCTGGTAAGGATCTCAAAAACATTTTAGTATATTTAGCATGCATAGTAAATACTAAATGCATTTCTGATCTGTATTGTAAACATGCCAGCCCACTGTATGCTCAGTTACTGCCCACTTATCTGCACCAGGAAATGCTCAGATGAAAATAAAAAAAAATTAAGCTTACTTTAGCTGAAGTGGTTATTAAGTGGAGAATGTGATGATTCACATTTCTGTATTGTTGCTCCTTTTTCAGTAAGCTGGGGGGGGGGGTATTTTTAAAACCTCTAGTGACTGGGATTTGTTTAATTTTCCAAGGTAGATATTTTTCCAGAATCACAAGAAAGAGTCCGGTAAGAGTATAGTTAACCAATTCAAAACATTTTAAATTTCATAATTGCCAGCTCCAGTCCTTTGTTTAAGTTCTATGTACAACTTTGAAGACTAATTCATGTTCCCAGAATAGAAATGTTTATAAGGAGGTTGAATCTTTGATGTTGAGTTATAATTCTAAATAGAGATCGTTGAAACTTCTTATCAAGATTGCTGTTATAAATTATGATGAGTATCCAGAATGCTATTCCTGCTTCAGATTTCTTGGAGGATACAGTCACTCCTTGTTTAGCACTACTTCATTTAGCAAGCTTTCACAAATGGTAGTGGTGGTAGTAACTTCTTTTTAAAAAGTTATTTTCTGACCAGTTACCACCAATTTTCTGTGCCTGACAATGCCAGAATAAGAGTAATGCCTGGCATTGCAGCACAAGAAAACTTTATTTAAATAAATGGCAGCATCCTGCAGTTGTTGCAGCACCTTCATTGTCAATCAAATGATTTATTTAACAACAATTTTGCTTCTAATTTAGAGACCAAATTGCAGCCACTAAACAAGGAGAAAGAGCTGTTGATAGCTGAATATTGAATATGTTTGAAACAAATCTAAAACTGATGTTCAGATATTTTTCTGATTTTTTATGGACCTGTGTTTCAGCGGAATGGAACTAAGATTTCTGGTTTGTTTGGAACTTCTTAATGATCTTTTAAATTTGTTTTTAAATGTTTTACAATAAATAGTCTTATACTGTGACAAAACATAAGATTTTAAACAAATCTAGGTAAACAAAAAAAAAGCCATCGGTATTTGCACAGCTTTGCATAGAAAAATATGTTTAGAAATTTTAAAACTAGGGAAAAGAAAACTAGGAAGTTATTTGCAGAAACAGGTTATGGAATTGAAATTTATTTTTGTCACTTGTAAGCTGTTTTGATTACTTTATGAGCATGTGCGTTTTAGAATAACAAGGATCCTGCTGTTTGTTATACTTATTAAAGTTCTGAAATAATAGTTTTAAGTAACTTAAAAATGCACTGCAAATGAGGTAGAATATTAAGTTGCTCTTGGTTAGAGATTAAACATTTGAGAAAATAGGGAAATAATACAATTACATTTTTATTATATCTGAGATCAGGCTTGGAGATAAATTCCTTAATTGTACAGTAATTGCCTATTTCTCACAAGACTGAATTGTCTGTTAGCACTGATTTTACTTTGGGGAGGGAGCTTGGAGAAGTTGCTGTCATAAAATTACTTAGATCAGATTAACAGAGATTGCATCTGATTTCACATTTGCTTATTTTTCATTTCTCCTGTGGAATTCTTGTTCATGCTATACTTTTTTAACCAAGAGGGTTTGTTCTTACTGACACTTTTTCCCAAGTTTAAACATCAGTACTTTATTGAGACTAAAGTTCCATGCTAAATTTCTACTTGATTTGTATTGTATACTACAAGAATGTCTAGCAAAATAATTATTTACTTCTGGCCTTAAAACATATAGAGTGTACTCTAAATCAGTTTATCTTTTTTTGCTGGCCTCTGCCAGAAGTAGCATTTTAGCTAAAAACGGGTGCTAGATCTTTGGTATGAAAGTGTTGAAACAGATTCTATTGGCTTACCTTGTTTAGGGCAAGTGTTCATTGTAGAACTTACTGGGTTCAAAAACATGCTTGTTTCTTAACATTTTATCATTATTAGGAGAAAGTGAGAAAGAGCTCCTGTAGATTCCAAAGATGTAATTAATTCTATATTAGAAGTGGACTTTAAACTTGAATGTGACCAACTGTAGCTGTATGATACAAATTAAGAAAAATATCTGGAAAGCCTGTATTTTAGATTATGAGGGATTCACAAACATTTAAAGCTTTTATTGATGTTATACTGTATGTAGATCTGTGAACTGTCAGAGGCTTGTGTGCGTATCAGAATTTATCTCTTGCTCATAATTTTAAACCTTTGTTGTCAACTTCAGAAATCAGTTTCTGATCACAAAAACGATGGCTTATTAAGCCATAAACTAAAGACAAAATCAATTGTTAGAAGAAAATATGACATGTTAGTTGCTTAAAAATTAGTGGACTGCAACTACAGTTCACATCAAATTTGGGGCACAGTTGCTCATTATGTTTCATTCATAGAGGGGCATTCTTCACTAAAATGGCTCATATCCTTGAGATTTTCCATATAATGGCTGAATGAATTACATATCCGCTGAAGAAAAACAGAGCATCTGTCAGGTGAACAAACAGCCAGAAATGTTTACCTTCCTCATCTAACCAAAAAATTAAATAGATTAAAGCATCTGTTTCTGTCCAAAGAGTACATAAATTGGCTGAGAATCTTCAAATTGCTATTTCAGGCATCAGATTGGAAACCCATTAATAAAAATCTCAGTCTGGTAAAAATTACTTATGAGTAATTGTATTTTATGGGTACAAACTATAAACTGCAAGGAGTATAAATAATCTGAAAGGCAAATTACATCAACAAATAACTATTTTTTCCCAGCAAAGGGCTCATAATGCAGACACATTTGTAGTTCATTTCCTTTTCTTAACATTGTAAGATAAGTCCATAAGAGAAACTATTCTGTGCAACGTTATCACATTTTCTGCATAAAGAAACCAAAGTGTTCTATGATTCTGATAAACTGAATATTGGATATGGCATGAAATCTCTTTTAAGAGTTTCCTGTGAGATGTATGAGAATATTTCTGAAGCTAGCTTTGGAAAACTTGCAGCAGTGTTCTTTTCATGATGCTGTAAGACTTCTTGCTTGTCATACCAGACTACAACTTGTTATTACCTTGATCTTACATTTCATTTCCTAAATCTTGGAACTTGTTTTGTTATATCCGAATAGAGTTATTCACTACCATTTTTGAACAATATGATCTAAAATTATAAATTGAGTATGCAAATATTCTACAAGAAAAATCTGCAAACATAAAGTGTTTAGCAAAGTAAATGTTGGATTCTCTTGCTGGATTAATGTAAACTGCTTTGTTTGCAGGGTGTTTTGCCATCCCAAAACCAGGCCAATTCTCCAAGTGGAACTGTAGTATAGCCATCACACTCCTCCTAGCAAACCTTTGAACACAGAACAAGAAGTAATGACAATGGAACCAGGAGCTGCTGTTCAGCCAGAGAGCATCACAAATTCTTAAAAGGCAGAGTGTTATGTGAATCACATAGTGTTTTACAAAATAATTCTGTAATGAGTTATATTTTTACATCTAATACTTTGAGGCTGCTCACCTAAGGAAGAATTTTGCTTAAAAATGCTTCTTTTGGTGCTACAATTAAAAATAGCAATTGCTTTATATTTCTCAGTGTAATTTAATCACATACCTACATCCACACACATCCACACGTGTAAAATAAAATATTTCTTAAATCCAAGTAAGTTTAATGGTGTTATAAATTAGAATATTACTGTTGAGTTTTTTCTTTGCACTGCTTTTTTAAAATCGGAGATGGTTAACCTGAAAAGCTCTCATGGGAAATTAAAGTCATTACTTTCTGGCTTCACAAATGTAATTCAGAAAGATGGATGCTACAATCATAGGTTTTTCTAAAAAGATTGTTTGCACTTAAATAGCGTAATGCTAGTGGATAATTAATTTTAAATTGGGTGTTTGGGCACCCTCTAAAGTTATGTTATAAAGAAATAAATCCTTTGTATCAAACATTTTATTTTAATAATGTTTCAACTACAGTCAACCTGTATTATATATGTAAATAATGTAATTCAGTGATTGGGAAAATCATTACACTAGTAATTTTAATCATTTAAGGAAGTGGTATTTCTAATTCAGAAAATACATATTATTAAACTATCTTGAATATGCAGTTTTGTTTACTTTCTGTTTAAATCACCTTTGATGTAACTTTTTGAATGTAATATTTTTGGTATGATATGATTTAAATTCTTGTAGAAGATGTTATTTCTGAAAAACACTCAGGTCAGACTTAGGAGATATTTAATTGGGCTTTTGTTAGTAGGTGTTATTTTCCTGCATTTTATTCTAAATGGCTTTTCCTCAGTATGGTTTAGAACACTACAAAGTTCTTAAGCCTAGTTTTTAAAATATATGTTAATTAACAGTGGTAGTCACCATTTTCATGCATTGGGACACTATAATTTAATATCTGTTAATGTGATTAGAAACACTAAAATGTTTATTTAAAATTATTGTAACAACAATAGGTTGCCACTGTAGAATAATGTGCCAAAGTACATAGTTCTCCTGTTTCAATTAAAAATGGATGCCTTGTTGGAGGATAAATATGAGAGTCTACATAATTAAATTGCTGCTTGGTTAGTTACTATTAAACTAATGTTGAACACGCTGAAATCTGAAGAATCCCCTTCAGTTTTTTTTCTTGAAGAAAACGCTGTCTGCTTGATACTAGAATTATGTGGCCGAGGATTCCTCTCTGGAAATTAGATCAAGAGGTAGAAATTCCCAGATTCTTGTCAAAATTGTATCAGCATTTCAGCCATTATGTAGGACTGCAGCCTCAGGATTCATATAGGGGAAAAAAAAGCAGAGATTGCATTGCAACCATTCAGTGCTGCTTTCTTCACATCCTTCCTCCCACCCCTGCCAGCTCTTATCAAAAGCTCTGATGTTGGGTTTTTTTTCCCTTGGACTGATTATTTGATGGCAGTTCTGAAGCAGAAGAACTGGGGAAGCAAATAGCTTACTGAATTGTGGTTGCAACGTAGTGTCTCCTCACTTTCTGGATATGGAAAGAAAACGCTGAGTACTAAAGGCTATAATTCACAGAACACTTTTTGATAAATAATGTTCTATTTCAAGGTTGTAGATTTTATGTATATGAATGTTTGTGCAGATAATCCTGCTATTTGCTGGATTTCCACAGTTCCATATTTTTAACCCTGCCCCTTACACTCTTTGAAACAAGAGTTTCAGTAGTATCTGCAATACATTACCATCCATTGCATTGCATATAAGCCCTTTGACATACTCCAAAGTGCTTTTGGGCTTATAGTAAATACTTTTAAAATCAGTTCGAAATAACTAAATAGTGTTGGGCTATTTTTGACTGCATAATACAAACCGCTAGTGAAAGCACAGAATAAAAGTGCCGTTTTAACTACTGTGCATTGGCAGGTTTAAGATCTTAGGCAAGACATTTTTTATGCCTTAAGAACAAATCATAGCTTGCTTCACAGTTTGATAAGCCTTAAACATGAATTATATATTATAATAACTGGATTCATACATCATGCTAAGCCAAAACTACATAAGCCATATTATGGCTCAGCACAGTGTGTGAACCAGCTGCTTAAAACCCAAAATTTGGATTTAACTGTGAACACAATGTTTCTCTCCACAGAAGGCATTTCATCCTGTGGAGGCAGAAGGGGCTGCTTTTGCTGAGTCTGTCTCTGCAAAAATGTATTTGGGGGAGGGCAGTCATCACAGAATTGCTTCTTCCCTTTCTGCTGCTGTGAGCCAACTCTGGAAATCGGTATGTATAATTATACTTTTAGAAGCAAGAAACATTAAGTGGTTCAACCAAACCATCTTTAGAAATGAAAACAAAAAATAAAAATTCTGTAGTAAAGCTGCTGTGGGACTAGAAAAAAAAAGGCTTTAAAAAACAGTTAATAATCCTGAGATTTAAGGAGCACAAAGTGCAGAGAATATATATTTGGTCTAAACCCATGTCAAGTATTCCCTCCGAAAAAAAAATTTGTACGGAGAATGGGGAGGTCCCTTGCCTGTGCTTATCTTTGCCTAGTTCTGAAAAAGTCCTCCCCTTTTGGAAAACAAGTATGAAATTACAAAATAAAATTTACAAAATGAAATAAAATAGTCTAGCTTGTCAAATATCTGGGTAGACTTCTTGATAGTACTATGCTAAAGTATCAAAAGACTGAACAGGAACATTTGGAGAAACTTGTCTCTTCTCACTAGGCATGACGCTCTCAAGCAGTTGTGCAGGTCTTTGGGCTACCACTTCTTGATTAGGAAGTTACATGCAGCCATCCCTCTGCTTACCTTTGCAATTATAGAATCTACAAGCATTAAAAAAAATATTCCAAAACTGAAATTGACCAACATTCTAATCTTTAACTATTTTTAGTGTTTGATCTCATGCAATTCAAAAGCATTTACACTGTACTGTATTAGAAGCTATTAATTCAATATATGAACAAAGGTTGCCTTATCGTCAAATGTAAGCATACCTAAAAGTAGTTTATGTTCCTAATTTGCCCCTTTTGTTTCCAAATTGTCAAGTACCGTAATTTGTCCTCAACATACGTTACTGGGAGATGAATCTCAGACTTAGTATCCAATGAAATACAATGTGCTTCTGATTATGCATATATGTAGAGAATAATGTGAGAATATGTTTTTAATTATTGTTTAAGGGATGAAATCATAAAGTATATTATACTATCCAATCAGACTTCTTCATATTGGGTGTATTTAGCCTGATATTGCCTCTTTGGGATATTAAACAGAAAGCTTTGTCATCACTTGTGGGAGAGTGCACCTGACTACAGACAAAATCTCTTCTTGACCACTCTTTTCTTAAGTGCTCTTAAGAGTCACATCTCCCTATTTTGGCTATTTGAAGAAAGCTTTCTCTTCTAAAGGCAAACTAGCTGTAACATTCTTTTAGAAATTTGTAAATTGACTAGAGATTCTACAATATTTCAACTCTAATCAAATCACAGTGGACTTTACTCAATACTGTAGGTGCCTTGTTTTAAATTACAAGGTCCTAGAATAAATTCTAATGTTCTAGCTATGACTAAAGCCAGTAGCTGTACGAAATAATGCTTATGCATTATGAACATAAACATTCTTAAAGGATATTTTTTCATCCTTGTTTGTAGTGTTTAACATGGGTCCCCAACCCCCAGGCTGCGACCCAGTACCATGGCTTGTTCAGAACCAGGCTGTGCAAGCAGTGCATGAGCGCATGTGCACAGCTCCAATTGCATGAGCGGTGGATGCTCACACGTGCGCACACACAAAGCTCCATTTGTGCGAATTGCGGGCACGCCTGCACACCTGCCGTTTGCACAGAACCATCCCCTCTTCCCCCTGCCAGTCTGTCATGCTGGAAAGGTTGGGAACCGCTGCTTTAATATTTATAGGTTTGAGATCCAAATTAGATTTGAGAATTTTACTCAGAATTTCCTGCTAGAGATTTTTTGGGAGTGGGAGGGAGAATGAATAACAGAGTTGGAAGGGGCCTTGGAGGTCTTCTAGTCCAACCCCCTGCTCAAGCAGGAAGCCCTATACCATTTCAGGCAAAGGATTTGTCTTCTTAAATACTTCCAGTGTTGGAGCATCACAACTCCTGAAGGCAAGTGGTTCCACTGATTAATTGTTCTGTCAGGAAATTTCTCCTTAGTTCTAGGTTGCTTCTCTCCTTGATTAGTTTCCACCCATTGCTTCTTATCCTGCCTTCAAGTGCTTTGGAGAATAGGTTGACCTTCTCTTCTTTGTGGCAACCCCTGAGATATTGGAATACTGCTATCATGTCACTCCTAGTCCTTTTCATCATATTAGACATACCCAATTCCTGCAACCATTCTTCATATGTTTTAGCCTCCAGTCCCCTACTCAACTTCGTTGCTCCTTGTACTCTTTCTAGAGTCTCAACATCGTTTTTATATCATGGCGACTAAAACTAGATACAATATTCATCCAGTTACAAAAATTCAGATGCAAAAATAATGCTCTTCATAAATTTCAAATTACATTCCTATCCTTCCCAAAAGAAAACCTTATCCTGAAGACTTGGATGATTCTGTGAAATAATATGAAAATTCTTCAAAATAAATCTCAATCCTCCCATAATTTGGTTTGAACAGAAGTATAAATAATGGCAAGGTTACATTCAACCAACTTATCATGACTGCTGAATCCTCAAGCAAATGATTGCCTTCATATAGGAAGAAAAATACAGCATTTTTAGCATTTGCTTTATGTATTGGATTGCATTTGTGTTCTTTTTGTGACTTTTCAGCAAACTTTACCATTGTGGGTTCCCTCAAAGATGTAATCCAGTCTTAGCTATCTTTTTGCCACTTTATTGAAGCATTGCTATTTGGCTGTTATTTAAGGTGCAATTGTTATACAGTATCAATAGTTTTACTCTAGTGCAATACATCATTTTTTTGTTACAGAGTGATGGTATTTGACAGTGCTTTGTGAGAGGACACGGTACTTAATCTCATAATCATAAAAATCTTCTTAGTCCTTTAATACATTTATTTTTACTGATACCTCTATAAAAGCTAAATTAAATGCCCTTTAGAAGAGTGGATTCTCTACAGCACAAGAGTTTCAAACATCATGGCCTTTTCAAAAGAAATGTATAACATTCTACATTGAACTATGCCAGGGTGACAATATACATTAACCAAAAGCTTACTTATAGATTTCCATACAAGAGAATATTGTGTATTGACTATTGATCTTTTTCATCCACCACCCATACAAAGACCTGCTAATTTATATTACTTGTTTCAGAACACAAATGTTTATACTAGGTTATATTTAAATTTTGACATTTCTAAATGATAATTAAAGAAGATTGGCTCTGATTATCCCTACGATCACATGTATAACTCCCCTCCCAGAAATTCACTTTTATTACATATATATATATATAAACACAATGTAGCATTTAATATAAAAGTTGGAACAATTCACTCCTGCCAGTGCAACACCATTAAATATATGATCACCTTAAAACGTAAATTAAAAAAATGTAAATAAAAAAGCACAAACTCCTTAAAAAAATCAAAGTGCATTCTGAGCTATAAAAATGGTGGTTACATTGTTGATTTGTAAAAAAAAAAAGGGTAAGTCCCAAAGAAGGATTGTTGTAGCAGTTGTTGCAGCATTTGAGGTGATAAGGCACTATTGCCATTTGTGTATTGTTTCAAAAAATCCAGACAGCTCATAAAGAGTTTTTAATCCATCAAAATCCCCCACCTCTTCTTTCCAGAGCAGGCAGATGATACTGTTTCATAGGAGATTTAAATTCCTTCTGTTTTTCAGACTGTTGATGAGACAATAGAAGTTAAAATGGGCTATAATCTACTGTACAAAATAGCATGTAATCTAATAAGCAAGGCAGAATTACCTTGCGATGTGTCCCAAAATATGTTATAGGTTGCAAAACCTGGACTTGTCTGTTGGATGCTGGGAGGGTAAAAACTGACTGAAATGAAGGATTAGGGTAAGAAGTCAAGTTGGTTACAGCAGGAACTGTCAGTTTTGGCAACTCAACTGCATTGGGTAGTCCATGATGTCCCAGTGGATTCTCCTGGGCTTGCCTAAAAAAGTTCTTTTAAAATAAAAATACAAGTTCAATTTTTAAAAATAATTTTGTTATGTAAGATAAATGTGTTTGATCACCTCACATATGCTTTAGGGTGGTTTAGATATTGCATCCTGGGCAGTTACTCCCAAATGTATGTAAAGTTCTACCCAAATGTTTCTTTGGGAAGACTGCTGCTTGCCTTTGGAATGAACTCATCAGATGGAAGCATAGTGTCAGTGAAAGCCTTTATATAGTTAGATCAATAAAGGGGAAGAGGATTAAATGGTAGCAATTATATTCTATATATTTTTAAATGAGTAGCCAAAGGTTACATTCCACTACTTTCAGACTTGCAAGGTGCATATGTTGAAAGTGGATATTTGTTTGGAAAATTGGCTTACAGTCTTTGATGGCTTATTTGTAAAATTGAGCCTTAGAACCTTAGAATATATCTTCTTGGACTCTATCCTTAGAAGATATAACTCTGCAACAAAATATAGGAACATACTAGAATTAATTACTTTTTATTCCCTAATTGTGATTCTGGGGTTTTTTTTGGGGGGGGGGGAGGAGATGAGAGTAGAGAACGGATTGAAATAAACTTTGGGAATTATTAGACGGATTTGTTGATACACTTAATATTCCCAGAATAGATGGGAAGCTGGCAAAATCAGACACTGCATAATTATTATATATTGATTGCATGAATGAGATGTAAATTGAAAAATTTCCAGAAAAAGCGTAGGTCTAGTTAATTCCAGCACTAGTTTGAATGTGCTCACAGAATTACAAAATATCAGGAACCATATATAGCATATCTAAAATTAAACTATCACACTATTCCATGCATTGTGTGCATAAGAGATAATGGTATAAATTTAAATAAAACCTTTCTGAACCTGTCAATCACAATTAGGTGTCCAATAGTTAAACAGCAAAAAATAATTAAAAATGCTGAAATCTTTTGATACAAGAATTCTCAAACATGTTTCACATGTCTAGGATGATTAATTAAAGCAGCGAAATTGACAGTGCTGTTCTGTAAGTGTGTGAACAAAAATGGCAGCAATTAAATAGATTTATTACTCAGTCTTTGATTTAAAGATTACCTGCCTTTGATCCTCCTTTGAAACACGCCGCAAGCCAAGAGAATCCCTTTCTAATGGATTTGCTGCTAATCTCATTTTTCGGTGTAGGGTTAAAGCTTGTTTCTCTGCCAACCTGTTTAGCGTAAGTCAGATAAAATCCCATATATGAGCTTTGAAATTTTTTCCCATCAATTAGACAATCAAATCATTCATTTCCCTCCTTATACGTTATTAACAAAGACCTGAAATGCAAATGCTAAATATTCACACCTAAGTATTAACTTAAATTTTAGCTTAGTTGATCAAGAATGATATAGCTTAGGTATTTTAAATCTTAGCTGGCTAGAGACATTTTCAATTGACTATTGATTCAAAATCAAATTTTATTTCACATTCCCTTACCTCAATTCTCTGAAATAAGGGTGTTGCAGTGCTTCATGCGCACAGATTCTCTCATCAGGATCATACTGTATCATTGCATACATAAGTGTCAGGCTCTTATTGGACAGGTTAGGGATAAATGGAGAGATTCCTTTGCCTTTTCTGATGGGGAAATCAAAACTCATCACTCTTGACCTGCATAAATGCAGTGAAAGAAAACACATTCCTATCAACTGAGTCAGGCTTATTGATACTGAAAGAATACAAAAGAAATTAAAATAGAAGCTCCAGTTTGAAAGCATTCTTTGTCCCTGTAGTTAGCCATATAGGGCAAATTACATGTATGTGACTATATCATGAAAACACTACAATTTAATGCTTGTCAGATTTGGAACACAAATATGTTTGGGCAGACTTGTGTTATGATGCCATAACAGCACAGTGGTTTTCTTTAGATCCATTTGATACTACCCTCACTTGAACATGGGAAGTCAAAGTAATTTTAAATTTTGTTTTCCAGTTCATCGACATGATATCTGTTGAACTGGAATAAAAGGGGCACTCAGTAATAAACATCCCTTAAAAAGTTATTCAGTAAAGCTAGTTAAGTCTATATAGCAGCAGCCCAACTAAGTGACAGCACCTATAATCTTAGTTTATTTTGAAAAACTGAACAGAATTGATAGACCAAAAAGACCAACAAGAAATACCAAGTCTGTAAGTAGGACTGGGAAATCAATTGCACCATATTGCCAAGAAAATTATCAATGCTTGTCCCCCCCAAATTAACAGAATTCAAGGTCTATTAGTTTGAATGTTTACTGAATGCCAAAGATACACAGATGTTACAGTAATTTATAGAAATGGGGACTTCCTACAGTTTTCAAATTCTATGACACTTGCAAAAAGAGCTAGAAGCATTTATCAAGGGAACAGTAATATAAAACAGTCTTAATACATTATGAAAATAGGACATGAAAACAACATGGTTTTGACTGTAGTTCTGAATTCTGAGAAGTGGACCCAGGCTATATGCTTTTTAGATTTGACTATGGTCAGCTGTAAGGTAATAAACACACACTTCTAATGCAATTTTAGGCAACTTTACTTAAATAAAATACAATAATGAATATTAAGGGAAACTACACTTACTGTTTGAACTTATTAAGAATCTTCTTTGGAGGGGTACCTATGATATCATGGATTTTTGATATTTGATCCAGTTCATTTGATCCAGGAAAAAGTGGGTGGAAACTGGGAACAATAAAGAATTGTTAATGTGATGAATACCATTGTTATGAGAAAACTGTTCATCCTCGGTACTGAATAATATTGTTGGTACTAAATAATAACATTACAGCAGATAGTATTTTTAAATCAAATACACTGTCATTAATCCCATTCCCCACCTGTGTATTATATAACATCTTTCAAAATAAAAAGGGGAAAGTATCAAAAGAGACAAGTGATATCAAAAAATGTTATCTGTACAATTCAGCCTGTAGCTACCTAAGGACATAAATATTTCATCAGCTAGAAATAAAGTATTTGTTGCTAAAGCCTATAATCCCCAAAATTCAACATAATATGCACATGACATGGCTTTGCCTCAAGTGTCCTTCTCAGAGACACGTTTACTATTGACTGCAGCTAGATAACAGCCACTCTTGAAGCCTGAATATCACATTAGGATTTTCAGCTAAATTTCAAATTATTTTTCCTTTCTTCATTAAGCTACTGATGTTCACTTTTCTAACCATTGACTAAATCTAGATATACAGCAGCAAAGCTCACAAACCCCTCAGTTAAAACAATGAAGTTATGCCAGATAAGAACACAATGATTAACAAACAGTAACAAATACCCAACTCTTTCTTATTGAAATAGATTTAAGTTTATCTTCAAAGTGTTAAATGACTTTCCCTGTGCCATTATGCAATTCATCAACCAGCAATGCAGACATTTGAACTCGAATTTTCTCCGTGTGTTTTACTGTTCAAATCTTTCCCAGTATTATATTTGTATTTTTCCCATAATTCAGCCTATAACTATCTCATATCTGTACAAGCCTATACTTCATAAGAGTTTCTTTATTCTTTTTAATTTAGCCACTTTCCTTCTGATAAATAACCTACCTTGCAATTTCATAAAACACACAGCCAGCACTCCAGATGTCCATTTTATAACTGTAGTAACCATCTGTAAGAAGACATTCAGGTGCCCTATACCAGCGTGTAGAGATATATTCTGTATATGGCTGCTTAGAATGTATGCTCCTACAGGATCCAAAATCTCCAAGTTTGAGAAGATCTTGCTACAATAAGACAAATTGTGCATCTCAAATGATTAGGCATTAAAATGATATTTACAAATAATGAATTACTAATAATACTTCAAGATGAAATTAAGGAATCTTTATCCACCTCAGCTGTTCTATTTGTGAACAGAAAAGACTGATTACTTTAATGTTCTAAATTGGTAATAATTGACTTTTGAATCCTTGGCCACAAGGCAGCCTTTGGAGTAAATGTGAAAATACATACAGGTAGTCCCAAAGATGCTTTTCTAAAAGGCAACTGGACTTTCTTGATTTTTTGTCTTTGAAAATGTTTTGCTTCTCATCCAAGAAGTTTCTTCAGTTCTGGGTGAGAAGGGAAATGTTTTTGAAGAAAAAGACCTAGGAAGTCCAGTTGCCTTTTGGAAGAGCACCTTTGGAACAACCATGACCTGGATGACTGAGAATCTCCATAAACATACATATAGGTAGTTCTTGATTAAAGTTCAGCAACTATTTGAAGTTGCAAATGACACTGAATGACTGGTGCTTAAGACTGGTTCTCAAAATTCCAGCCAACACACTACCTCCATGGTCATGTCATCGTGATTCATGTGCTTGGCCTGCACTGCATGAATGCACCAGCCTGGATCCGTTACTCTGGAACAGCAGCAATCCCTTCTCAGCTCACATGCACTTACCACAGCAACCCTCCTCCCACTCCTCACCTGCCCTCCAGCCTCCTTGCAAGCTGCCTGGAACTTGCAATTTTCAGTCTGCTTCCTCATTGACTTTGCTTGTGGAAGCTGGCAGGAAATTGTAAGTCACGGTCACATGATATCCTCACTTAATGATGGCCACAGGGAATGCTAGGATGCTGTTGCTAAATGATGCAGTCATGTGACATGTTTCATAACTGCAGCATTTAGCAATGGAAATCTTTGAACATTAAGTCTTCAGAGAATTGCTAGCACAAGTTACTCAAGAAAAATCAAATTTGATTTTTTTACAGCCTTTTTCAAAAATGACTGACTTGCCTAAAAAGATGAGTAATAAAAGATGAGTAATAAAAAAAATCCTGATGCTAAAAAGCAAGACAGTATTAGCTCTAAAGTAAGTATTTGACAGTTAATCATCAGAAAGTTGAAATGCACTTTTTCCTATAGACATAGGATGCATATTCAAATACCAGTCCTAGAACAAATATAAGAATTTTGGTAAATTCATATTGCACATATTATAAAACAATCAAAGACAACCTACCTTTATTAATATGTTTTCAGGTTTCACATCTCTGTGAAATATTCCATTCCTGCATCAAGATAAAAATCAAAGGAAAGGTAAGTATTTTTATCTTAAGGCTGTGGTGCAGAAAGCCACACATCCCTTGGGAGTACTCAAGCCTACCCCTTAGTTTCAATATAAGTTGTTTCACCCATCCCAAAAAATTATCCATAAAGTTCTGAAGATATTCCAAAGAAGAGATGACAACTAGAAAATAAAAGCTAGTCAAAGCCTATGGCACCCTTATATACATTAGGTACATGAATGAAAATCTATGGATTCCAGCCCATTTAAATATCCAAACTGTAATTTTGCAAGCAAATAAGTTAAAAGCTTTCCTACCTGTGTATATGATCAAGAGATTTGCATAGCTGGTACATATAATTCATTGTTTTCTTTTCAGACAATGGTTTTTTCCTTCCTGGAATTTGGAAATCAAGTTTAATAGGTGTTTTTTTTTTAATAAAGATTGCTTGCGTATAAAAACAGCTTGCAATGATTTTGGCTAATTTATTTTTAAATCTAGTTATGAAATACTTACCTATGACCTATAACCAAGTCCCCTAACTAGCCAATATTCAAAGCTGCTCTATTCAGAGCAACGTGTCCACCTTCGGGGGTGCACCATTGGTATCTTTTCTAAAAAGACAAATCTGACTACAGGACTCATATCTGAATCACTGGAATGTGTCCTCTATAAGGCTACCTTTGAAAAGGATTTGCAAATTGTACCTGATATGAAACACAGCGGGCTAGGATGCCTTTTAGACTATATTCTACTGGTCATATATCAGTTGCAATGGTTTTCTATTATACACTGAAAAATTTAGAACAGGACTCTAGCTTTTATATTTCATGCAGTTATTCATTTCGAATCATGAGTATTTGGAAGCAGAATAGGCCCTCATTTCATATACAACTGCTATAACAGAGACAGCAATTACGTACCACAATGACATAGTAATTTTCCAGTTGTTGGCATACAATTGTCATCTTTGATTGACTATCCATGCTGCCTTGGCTTTGGTTGATGGTAAGGGTGGGGCATAGATTTAACAATTCTTAATACAGCAAATATACACAGTGATTAATGAACCATATTCTCCTTAAATTTTCTTGCAGACTGGCCCCTCTTTAGGATAGCATTCTCTTTCAATATAAGTCATTATATGGAGAAGCTTTCCCTATATTCCAAAACCTCTCTCTGCCTTAACTTATTCTGAAGGAGATCAACTGCCACCAGAAAGAGATCCTGTTTACATGCACGTTAATCTGAAGGGTTTTTCCATAACTGCAAGTAAAACATCTATTTTCAACATGCAACAGTGTCTTACTTAATATTTGGTTAAACTAAATACACATCTATTTCACTTGTGAAAAAAAATTGCTTAAAGAGACATTTTTCAGATATTGTGTATGCTACATACCTTTGATCAATTCATAAATATTCATGTCCATAAGTTCACATATTAATGCAACAGCACCAGCTTTCTTGTCACTAAAAAGTGGGTTTTAATGTAATTATATGAAAGAAAGAAGAATAAGTTATATATGCACGTAAAGAATAGGACATATTTTTCAATTATTTTTTTTAAGTAGATCTACTATTATTAGTTTTCTATATTTTTCATTAGCTTTTACATATGCATGAAAAAAGCACTTTATGTTAAATAGAACAGTTATATGCCACTCTAGATATACTAGAGATGAGCAAGGTTTTTATCATAAGCATACTGACTCAAAATTGCTGAAGAAGAAAAGGAAAATCAAGTTCATTTCGTGATCTCATCTTTCATGATCCTGAAAAAGATTATATTGGAGAAGGATGACTCTCTTTAAAAATCCTCTTCCTCATCAAAAGTGCTTACCAACCCCCCCCCCCCAGCATTTTTGCAGAAAATTAGAAATCAAATCTTGTAGGAAATGCATCTTTGCTATATTGCTGAATCAGTTTCTCAATAACACAAGAAGTATCTAATAAGTTAATTACTGAATGACAATTGTGAAGAGGAAAATTATCCCTCTTTATCAGCATGATAGTAACAGTGGCGGTATGAAAGAGAAGAGGAAGAACCTGTAACAGAGGACAAACCTTTGATAATCTCATGTGGCTTGCAAATTGTTCACCCTTATGTAAATGATAATCAAAACAAATCCATGTTGTACCTGCATATATTTTATTAAATTAGAACCAACATTATTTAAAAAGGAAAAATAAATGCTTTTGATGTTAACTTTTTTTTGCCTGCCACAATCAAGAGATTACTTACAGTAATATATTACTTCTATCATCACCAAAAACAATATTAGACTTTAAGCAAGCAACAGAATAACTCTTGAACACACAGATGTGCCCTATAACATCAGATTATAACCCATCTTGATCAATTCTGTGGTCACAGATGGGGATCTTTCTGAGCTCTGAAACTTGACAAGTAACTATAATTGGACAAGTCAAGATTAAACTTGAGACAATTCTACATGCTGTTACTGAACTACAACTTTCTGCAATTGGAGAGGAAATTGCCTTGCTCTAAGAAAGACTTCCTCCCTGAAAACTGGGTATAGACATCTGCAAAATTCTGTTGCTTTTATTAAAATGATGAAAGCAGTATTGTTCCACAAGATCTCCTCTTTTGAACATGCATGAAAGAATATGACATATACGCAAAAGGGCCAAGGGTTTATCTCAATGTTGCTTTTGTTCTGCCCTCACCTCCTGCTGCCACAGAAGCCACTGAACCCTGGTATTAGTGCCTTCAAAAATGTATCTTTTTTAAAATAAAGAGATTTATATTTTCTCTCTTCAGAAATGGTTAAATAGAACAGTTGTCTGGCAAAATGTGTGGTGAGGATTTATGAGGATTGTGAGATTTCTCTTTCATGGTAACAAAATAGATTAGCATGTTCAGAATATTCCTTATTGTCAACTGATCATCTCCATTAGTCAGATGACCAGATATGACTTTTCATATGACACAATGAACAGAATCTAATAACACACATCTTCAAGTAATCCCCCACTGCAAAATCTCAAGTCAGCACCTACGGGAATGAGACTGGATTCTACATATTGCACTTCAATTCTTAGCCCCTAATTGCATTTTTCTTATATTTCTGCCTTGACACCATTAGTATTGTCAGAGGCCAATTATGAACATAGAATAAAATGAATGTGATTTTTAAAGTCTTTATAGATTGCCAGATCAATCCTGAGAGCCTATGTCACATACTCTTAGTCAGCGTTAACACTCTTAGTAGAACAGAATGATGGCTCAATGACTACAGAAAGATATATTATTTGACTCATATTAAGTTCCAAACTTAATAGTCCACACAACCTACTCCTTGCTTGCTGTTATCTTGAAAAAAGGTGCACGAAATGGCAAAATTTCATCATTCTATAGTGAAAGTTTCATCTCTCAAAATAATTTTAATCAGAATGAGATTCGTTTGATAAATAGTAATTGAACATCTCTTTATCTGGTGATCAATATGTATGGTACAGAATGGGAATCAAAAAAAGCACGCATCACTTACAAAATCACTTCATGCAATGTAAGGATATTTGGATGTGGATTCAATCGCCTTAATGCTTGAATTTCTCTCAGGTTATTCACATGGTCAATACTAGTAGAAAAGATTAGGTGAAAAATAAACAACTGTCATTTACACATTGTTGTATGGATTTTCCTGACTCACACAAGGCATAGGTTGTAATAGTCTCTTGCAGCATGTTGCCAGCTTGCCTGGGTGTGGTGTGACATTTCATGGCTCTCTTCTGTATGAGTACTGTATGAGATACTACTTGCAAAACGTCATGTTTTTTTTATATGGTGGCATAGAAAATAGTATAATAAACACACCTCCCTGTCTTTCAAAGATTATGAGCTCTTGAGAAGGAAATCTCAAATCTGTGCAATGCTATATTTACTATACACTGTAGTATATGCTAGGATCAAGAATTACTAGTTTGAACACACATTATTTAAGGCCAATAGGACACATTAGGAAAAACAATCTTCATCTCCAAAGGCAGCTAGATTTTATATATGCATTTACAAAAAAAAAGATGTTTTAAAATCAACTTTTGACAATGAAGATTTAAACAAAACATTTATATACTGAAGCTAAATAAGAAGTTAAAATTAAAAAGAATCAAACTTTACCTTTCAAAATGCTGTTTCATTTGTTTACAAGCATAGTAACGTCCATTGTTTAGACTCTGTACCTTCAGAACATCAGAAAATGTTCCCTCTCCAATTTTACCAATTGTTTTGTATTCTAGAAAGATTAATATTGAAACAATAAACTAGAAGTTAAATGTATATATTTAAATTCTGCTTCATCAAATATGTTCACAACTGTAGCTTACTTATTCTAATAGCATACTTGTTTCCTCCCGAGATAAACAATATGTCTTCCAGGTAATTCCCATATTATCACTGTAGTTGTTTAAAATTAAGGTTCATCTCTATGCACTGGGAAAGGATTATACCAGTACAATTTATTCTTGAGAATTACGGTATATGAGAAATTCTGCTTGTGTTTGCTAAAATAACATTTAAGTGCTTTCTATCAACTACATCTCACATACTTATCATCCACTTAAAATAATCTGCAGGATAAAAATTGTGTAAGTTTTAGTTTAGTTTTTTAGAAACCCACGTTTTTTGTTTTCACTAAATATAAATTATACATATATTGTGCTTAAATAATATCACTATCATTAAAATGGACTATTTTTATATTTACATACAATTTAGCATATCTTAGCGCATTATCAATAATCACCTAATGTTCCAAGCATATAAATTTGAAGAGCTTAATTCTAATGTTGTTCTATATGACCAGGAATAACATATGAAGTTTTAATCAAACTAATATATGTGTTATAGGCCCACAAACAATATTCCTCCAAATACATTGATCCTTCATTCATTCATTTCTACTGAGTTATACATCTGGAAACTCACCCAATTCTGACTACTTTTTGTATATACCTTTCTGCTCTAAAATTTGGTTTAGTCTTCTCCCATACATATCACTTCTACAGCAAATGTTCCTAGAATTCTCCATTGCCTAACTTCTGTGAGAATTAACTTCTTCAGATTGCATCTAGCTGTAAAGAGAAGTATTTCCAATATAATTGTACTAGTAATTCATATTTAATAAGACTTTTCCCTAACCATTGTCATGTTTCATATTTTTTAAAAAAACAAAGTATCATATTTCGCAGTGAAGGAAACTTCCATTTATGGTTTGTTTATAGTATTTTAGATTCAAAGGGTTGGAAGTAACCTTGGATATCGTCTAGTCTAAAACATCCAGTGTTTATGCCTTAATTCCTCATTTTTATTCAACCACAATCTTTGTCTATAGTAAAGTTGGCTATTCTATAATAGAAAGGAATTTGCTTTATTAATACAATTTTTACATATTTGAGGAGTTAAAATTAAAAGAAAGAAAAATCAAAAGACTATGTTCGTATTACACACAGTTATGTGAAAAAGAAAGATTCTCCTTCTTGAATTCTATGGTTTTATGGATCAGGTCATACATAGTAAAAATCATCTGGTCTTTAGCAGTTCTTAAAAGTAGGTAAATACAACTTCAGATGAACAACAACACATGACATATTATATCATGCCATTTATTTTACAAAAAGAAAGCCAAAATGGAGAAGCCATGTGTGAAAAACTAAGTACACCCTTACTGCTTCCATAGGTACCGTATGAAGAGGCTAAGTAGCAGCCAGGTGCTGCTAATCAAGTGCCCTTGATCAATTGATCATCTATACAAACCAAAGTTTTAGGAGTCTCCAGGTCTCCAGCATTGAGGTATGTGTTAACATAATGCCAAAGAAGAAAGACATCAGGAACAATCTTAGAGAAACAATTGTTGCTCCCCATCAATCTGAGGAAGATTATAAGGACATTTCCAAACAATTTAAAGTTCATCCTTTTACAGTGAGGAAGATTATTTGTAAGTGGAAAACATTCAAGATGGTTGCCAATTTTCCCAAGAATGGATATCCCAGCAAATTCACCCCAAGGTCAGACCATGCAATGCTCAGAGAAATTGCAATAAAGCCAAGAATTACATCTCAGACTCTACAGGCCTCAGATAGCATGTTAAATGTTAAAGCTCAAGATAGTACAATTAGAAAAAGACTGAACAGGTATGGTTTGTTTGGAAGGGTTGCCAGGAGAAAGCCTCTCGTCTCTAAAAAGAACATGGAAGCATGGCTTAGATTTCCAAAGTTGCATCTGAACAAATCATAATACTTCTGGAACATTATCCTTTGGATAGACGAGACCAAAGTGCAGATGTCTGGTCATAATGCACAGTGCCATGTTTGGCGAAAACCAAACGCAGCACATCAGCACAAACATCTCATACCAACTAGCAAGCACAGTGGTGAAGGGGTGATGATTCGGGCTCATTTTACAGCCACAGGACTTGGGCTCCTTGCAGTTATTGAGTCGACCATGAACTCCTCTGTATACCAAAGTATTCTAGAATTAAATGTGAAGCCATCTGTCTGACAGCTAGAGCTTGGTTGACATTGGGTCATGCAACAGGACAAGATCCCAAGCATACCAGCAAATCTACAACAGAATGGTTGAAAAAGAAAAGAATCAAGGTGTTGCAATGGCCCAGTCAAATGCTGTGGCAGGATCTCAAGAGAGCTGTGCATAAACAAGTGTCCACAAACCTCAATGAACTGAAGCAATGCTGTAAATAAGAGTGGGCCAAATTTGTCCACAACAATGTGAGAGATTGATACAGTCATATAGAAAACAATTACTTCAAGTTATTGGTGCTGAAGGTGGTTCTACATCTGCAAGCTATTGTATCATAAGGTGTACTTAAGTTTTCCTCACATGGCTTCTCCATTCTGGCTTTTTGTAAAATAAATGACATAGTGTAATATGAGGGTGAAGGTTCGTTCTCTGAGCTTGTGGGTTGGTTTCTGAATGTTTTGTTACCAGGCTAGGTGACATCTTCAGCAGAGTTTAAACTCTGCTGAAGATGTTATCTAGCCTGGTAATGAAACGTTCGAAAACCAACCCACAAGCTCAGAAAACAAACCTTGATCCTCATCCTACACCTGAGCTACAGATATTCACCACTATTGCATACTGTAATATGTCATGTGTTCTTGTTCATCTGGGATTGTATTTTTTTAAAGAACTGCTAAGGACCAGATTTTTACTATGTCCTGATATGTAAAACCATAGAACTCAAAGGTGTACTTTCTTTTTTAAATTACTATATACATAAACTTTCCATCAATAACTGACGGCAATCTATTTTGTACTAGCAGGAAAGTTGATAGGGCTACAGTGATGCTTAAAAGTTAGCGGGGCTGCTTTTTGTTCACTGCAACTGGGGCTTTAGTCAAGGTGGGGGAGAATAATGAACAGTTCCAAATATCAAATTTGGCACAAAACCTTCAGGCCTCTGCTAAAATGCTGAAGATTTCACCTTTCAGCACAAAAACCATCCAAAGCATACCTCCAAATCAAGAAAAGAAAGGCTTCACCAGAAGATCAAAGTTTTGGAATGGCTCAGCCACAGCCTGGATCTGAATCCAATTGAAAATCTGTAGGGTGACCTGAAGAGGGCTTTGCACAGGAGATGCCCTTTCAATCTGACAGATTTGGAGCTCTTTTGCAAAGAAGAGTGGGCAAAGATGCCCAAGGTAAGATATGCCATGCTGATATGCCAGGGGTGTCAAACTGCTGGCCTGTGGGCCAGTTTCTTCATATCAAAGCCCCGCTCACCTCATTGCTGGTAAGGCAAAAAGAGTCGCGACATGTCGCGACACGTGACGTGACGTGGCGAGTTTGACACCCGTGTCTTATCCCAAAAGACTGAATACTGTCATAAAATCAAAATGTGCTTCAACAAATGTTTAAGGATGTGCTTCTTTATGCAACCATGTTATTATATTTTTATTGTGATCCCCCCAAACAAATTCAGTTTTGTTTTTCAACAGAATTGTACAGCTTATGTGTTATACTGAAGATGTAAAGAATTCTGAAGTGATTTCTCTTGGTCTGAATTTTTTACATTTCAGAAACCTGGCATTTTAACAGGCATATATAAACTTTCTATCTCCACTGTACTTTCTCTTGAGCTTCAGGTTAGATACCCTGACCTTTTTTTTATATAGAATATGCTGGTGCAATTCAAAATTTATAGTTCCATCAATGATGGCAAGCTCTCCTGGTCCAGAGACAGTAAAGCAGGCTCAAAATATATTGCCACCACCATCTCTCACAGATGGGATGGTTTTATGTTGAAATGTAGGATTTGCCTTTCAGCAAATATGCTTTTCATTCAAGCCCAAACGTTCTATTCTGCTCTCATCCATCCATAGAACATTCTTCCAAAAGCCATGTGGTCTTTTGCAAACAACCTGGACAGCAATATTATTTTGGGGAGTAGCAGCTTTCTTTTTGCAATCCTGCTGTACTATTGTTGTTCAATGTTCTCTTGATAGTGGTCTCATGAATGCTGGCATTCACCAATACAAGACAGGCCTTAGATGTTTTCCTGGGGTTGAGACCTCATGGAAGATTACACACCTTGCTCTTGCTGAGAGCTTAGTGGGTCAATCATTACTGGGGAGGCTTGCCCATTTCTACACAATCTTATTTAACAATGATTGGTAAAGTCCAAACTCTTTGGAAATAGTTGTGCAAACCTATCCAGCCTGGTGAGTATGAACAATTGCTTTTCAGAGGTCCTCGGAAATTTCCTTTGTTTGGGACATGACACACTTTCACATACCTGTGTTATGAAGTTCAGACTTTGACAGTAAATACCAAAAATTCTGTTCTTTAAAGAGAGGCAGGATCTCCCACATTTGCATTATCATCCCACTGGTTGAAACACATGATTCTAATTACCCTTTCAAATCAACTGATAATCTTAGAGGTTTATATACTTTTACCATGTGCAAAATATGTAGCTTTGCATCAATTTTTCCTCAATAAATGAGCAAGCATAATGTTTTTGACTCATTTGTTTAACTGGATTTTCTACCTAGTTTTAGGATTTGTGAGAACAGATCATATTTTAGATCATAGTTATGCAGGCACTTGAAAACTCAAAAGGATTCACAAACTTTCCAGTACCACTGCATATCATAGAAGTGGGTAGAGCCAGACTTTCTACATTTTCCAAATTTTGGGAGGTTACTAGATGTTTGTATTTGTATACACACATAAACATATATAGGTTAAGGCTTGCTTGTTTGTTTCCTATCTCAACATAACTTGGAAATTAAAGATGCTGATTTTCAGTGACTGGGGTCAGAAGCAAGCCTATAAATTTCAAGGAGGTGCCTATGGACATATGATCTTAGCTTGCCTGTATATCTGTATCATTCCAGGCACTGAATAAAGTTTATTTCCCATTCTTACAAGTGATATACTTGTAAGTACTATCACATGACCTCTACTATCTCTCTTATGGTAATATGATATAAAACTTGTTTTTTCCTATTTCAGCAAAATGATTTATGATTAACTGGGAACTTAGTTTTATGAGAGACTGAGGGAATTGGATATGTTTAGTTTTGAGAAAAGACAATAGGGAATATGAAAGTAATTTCTAACTATCAGGAGCTATTACACAGAAGAAGCCCGAGAACCAATTATTAAGACAAGGCTGATCTTTGCTGAATGTGTCAAACTGCAGGGTGGGCAACTGTCTTTCAGGGAATGCACTAAAGTAGTAGACTTGGCTGAAACAAACTATTCTAATGGCGCCTATGATTTATATGTATATCATCTTATCCTTTATTTTATTCAATTTATATAAATATAAATTATGATTTTATTTATATATATAAATTATGACTGAAAAAGATTACTCTATCCCTTATTTCCACATAGCTGCTTTAACATTTGTTATAAATCACCTTCTATGCATGTGATCATTTTCACATTAATGTATGTATATGTATGAGGGACCATTAATCACCTGCCCCTAGTCAGACTATTTCAAATTCTATAATGAGATATTGAAAACTGTTGCTGAAATTATACAGTATACAGAAATATCCACTTTAACTGATAGGATTCCTCTAAAGTTGCTAGCTTCTACTTGTTTTTACAGATATGAATAAACTATTAGAGGAAGAAAGAACAATCTGTGGCCTCCAAAACCATTTTAATGTTTGTGGGGAAAACAGGAGACCATCTTGAGTTAATATACACACACAGATTGACAAGGCAGAGACATTGGCAGGTTAAAAATAATAAAAGCCCCTGACTGCAGTTACTAAAAACTGATGGTGCATTTTTGAGGTAAGAAATGAAAACAGTAACACATTCCTTAAAATAGATTTTTTTCATCTAATAAACAGAACTCACCAAGGCACCTTCCTGAAATCTCACATCCACCAAAAGGCTATATATGTCCCATTTTAGATTATCATTCTATCTGCTGTAGTCCTTACTCCCTCTAAACCAGTGGTTCTCAACCTTTTTAATCCCGCGACCCCAACCGGTCGTAAGTCGAGGACTACATCGGTTGTAAGTCGAGGACTAAACCGGTCGTAAGTCGAGGACTACCCAACCGGTCGTAAATAGAGGACTTTTCCTGCCCGGGAGCGCCACACATGTGTGTTTCCGCCCCCTGCGCCGGCCGAGGCATAGCTGGCAAGCGGCAGAGACGGAGCAGGCCGACCACCAGCTGGCCCAGCCCAAGGGAGGTAAGGCACCCACCGGAAAAGGGGGAAAAATGGCGGACAAAAAAAATGGTGGACAGCCTTGCTTGGTGACCCCCATGAAATGGTCGATCGACCCCAAATGGGGTCCCGACCCACAGGTTGAGAACCACTGCTCTAAACAGCCTCCAGTTATCAAAGGATTTCCTAGTTGAGCTTTAAGGAATGGATTCTAACCACCAAGTGCTTCCTTTTCATTTCCGAGTTCAGTGAAAACTATGCCCAAACAGAAAGCTTTGCAAAAATCAGATAAAACTGAATGTCTGTGCTAATATCACAGAAGCATGCTTAGGGTGTGGAATACAGTCCGCCCATTTACTGTGGCTTGGTTTTTCATGGACCATTTCATCGAGTTCACCATGTTGTCCAAGATGTCTTGGAGCAGAAGACAATAATATCCATTCAAGCTTGGTTTGGGAAGGGCTGAAGGACAGATAGAACTGAAAGAAAACTGCAAAACCACTAAAACAGGGGTAGGCAACCTTGGCTCTTTTATGACTCGTGGACTTCAACTCCCAGAATTCCTGAGCCAGCACAGCGGGCTCAGGAATTCTGGGAGTTGAAGTCCACGAGTCATAAAAGAGCCAAGGTTGCCTACCCCTGCACTAAAAAACGTCCACACGCTTCTTACTGTTGGAGCCAAATAGAAGCCCCTATCAGTGTGGCTGATCAGCCCTGGTTCTGGAGTTCGCTTGCACGTGCCCAGGTTCCACGCTATTCCCTGACACGGCGGGAGCCACTCTTTGAAACCCCTCCCGCCTGGTTCAATAGCGGCAGGAGAGGGGGAGTTCCTAAGGCTTCCGTCAACCCACGCCCCCCCCATCCCGTGGCCTCGCCTGCGGGTCGTTGGCCCCAGTCCCAGCACGACGCCCTGGTCGAATCTCTAAACCAGGGGTAGTCAACCTTGGCTCTTTTATGACTCGTGGACTTCAACTCCCAGAATTCCTGAGCCAGCTAAGCTGGCTCAGGAATTCTGGGAGTTGAAGTCCACGAGTCATAAAAGAGCCAAGGTTGACTACCCCTGCTCTAAACAGTAAATGAATCAAACCAACTATGCCAAATATCCCCCACCCCTCCGAGTAGACGTTTCTTCCTCGGCTCACCAAGAAGGGAAGGGGTTGCCCCACCCTCTTTTCCTCCACACCAATTCTACGCACGCCCCCCCCCTCTCCAAGCCGAATCCGCAGGCCGAGCGGCGTTTCCGACCTATTCCACCACGTGCCGCGCGACCCACCACTGCGCCTCCTCCCTTACTGTTCATCCTCCGAGCCCGCCTCTCCCGCAGGTTCCCGCCAGGTCAAGGGGCGGGGAGGGGGGGCGAGGACACGGGTCCTCTCTGAACCGCCAGACCCCCTCCCCACGACAGAAGTTGTCAGCGCGCCATGTTGTATTCCCGTCACCCGGGCAACCCCAGAGCATCGAGCACCTCAACCCGGGAAAACGACCTAGCCCCACCCTCGCAGAGGCGCCGGCCTCTGACAGTGTGGCGCAAGCGCAGTTACTAACCTCCGCCCTCTCCCATTGACTGCGGCAGGCGAAGGGCAGGATTCATGTTTGCGGGCTTTCAGAATTGCGCATGCGGAGTGTCAATTTACTCCTTGCCCGCCGGCTCCCAGCCCCTCTCGTCTTTGCGCATCCTCAATCGTTACGACTGTCTAAAGAGGGTCTGTTAACAGTCGTCTCTCCCTTGCCGAGTTCGGGTGTGCAGTACAGTATGGGGTTTTTTTGGTAGGGCGAAGTCTGCCATTGGCACTAGTTAAGGATGCAACAGAGTTGAATGTGTTTTTCCTGGGAATAAGCCCTGTTCCAGCCCCCCCATTAAATAGCGAAGTAGTCCATTATGTTTTAGTGTAGCGTGGCGTGGAAATCGAAACCGACTTTCTAATACCTCAACCAAGCTCCATTTTAGTCCATCATTTGGTGGATGGCAATGAAATGCCGGGGGGTGGGGGGAGATTTGTAGGAACTGATGTGGAGACATAAGTCTCCTGCACGTGTACTTCTGCATTTGGTATTTGCAGACCAGCATATGGCAGGAACATTAGTTCATTCAGCATTCCTATTTTGTTATCCCTTTTGAGGTAAGCTGTATTATGTAAAGTGCAGGAATGGTTTATGACAAAAGCATGAGGAAAAGCAGATGAAAACAGCGCAATCTAGTTCACACCAACAATTTACGTTGCTAAGCAAAGTGGTTAAGTGAATCACACCTGATTTTATTTTTTTTGCCATGGTTGTTAAGCAAATCACTGCAGTTAAGTAAATCACATGGTCAATCAGCAAATCCAACTTCCCCCACTGACTTTGCTTGTTGGAAGTTGGCTGGTATTGTCACAAGTGTTGATAACGTGACCCTGGGATGCTAGTCATAGGTTATTTCATTGTAGAACCAGTATTGAACGGATATTAACTTTAATGTATTGTGTTATTGATTCACTTTGCTTCATATGCTGCACATATTGAAAAAAAATGTGTAAATGGAATTTTGAAAATTCAGCCTCTGAAACTGTCTGCTGCTGCAAAAAATCAACCATTTGTGAAGAAACTAGCTATAAATTCTTTAGCATAAGACGAACCATAATAATAAATAAGAACTTTGATAGTATTGATAGCATTCTTTGTCAAAGAATCTGCTACTGTATATTTTCCTTTGCTCTGGTATGGGATTTGTAGTCTGACAGAGAGATCAATAAGATAAATTATAGATTGAAATGTTGAGTTATATAACGGGAAAAGAAAATTAAAAGAAAGCAAAGAATCTAAAAAAAATTATCCTGAACACATTGTTGAGATTTAATAACAAAGAAAGTAAAGTAGAGTGCCTTAACAAGATGGCCGGTTAGCTCAGTTGGTTAGAGCGTGGTGCTAATAACGCCAAGGTCGCGGGTTCGATCCCCGTACGGGCCATCGGGGCTTCACTTTTTCATTGAAATTCTAGTAATAAACTTCAAATGAATGCTTCACCCACGCCAAAGCCACTTGAATGGTATCATAAAATGGTGTACGCATAAAGGTATCAGATTTTTATTAAAATACAGTTGGGCAGACATCTTTAATAATACATCTTTAAGAAAGGACCTAATATACCCCATAGAAGTCTGTCTCGCTTTCAATTATGTTGATATTCCGGGAGCGGGTGGGGGGGGCGGCGGCGGCTCGCCTTTAACCCTCTACCAGATTTCCTCATAGCTCTCCGTCAAAACGAGGAAATCCAAAGACGTCCGATTTTTAACCCCACGAAGTCCATTAGGAACGGAACGGTGTTTATATCTTTAACTGCGCAGACTGGGTACTGATTTGAGGTTTGGCAAATTCGCAAGTTAAGCACCAGTCTTTGAGAAGACAAGGGAAAGGCAACACTCGGATCCTTTGATCACCGCCATCGCTTCTAAAGGCTGCTGAACTGAACTCCTTTCGGATCGGGAGACGCCGGACGACAATTTCAGTTACAATAGCAGATTTGTCCCCCGACAGCTCCCACTGCAGCAGCGCTCGACTTCCTTCTCCGCCCCTCTCGTGACGTACCGCAGCGAGCACTCTCCCCCCGCTCCCCCCCCCTCCTTCAGCACCCGCGTGCTCCGCTCTTCCGGAGTCCTCGATTCCTGAAGCGCGAGATGGGGCCTTCCCCTGCCGCGCTTGCCTCCTAAGATGTCTTCTCCGGGGCTCAGGAGCGACGCTGCTGCGGCTGCTGCCGCCTCTGCTGCTGAGGGCCCGGCACCAGGCCCTCCAGGCGAGAGGCCGTTGATGCCGGTCACTGAATTCCGCTGCGGGAAGCCGTATCGGGCGTCCGAGGCAGTGGCTGGAAGTGTCCCGGGAAAGCTACAAGATGAGGGGCTCCCTCCCCCGGTCGGAAAGGCGGCGGAGAGGGCCGAGGACCGCCGTCCCGCCGGGGCTGCCGTATTAGCTCAAGGGACCGCCTGCCCCACTTCCCTCTTGCTGGCTCAGAGTTTCAGCTCGGCGGCTTCCGCCTCACCTTCGGGGTCTCAGCTGCCCACGGTCGGCACCCTCCACAACCCGCCACAGCCGGGGCAGGATGGAGCTCAGGGGGTCGGATCCGAGACAGAGTCTCTTCCTTTGACGGGGGCCCTTCTGTTCAAGGTAGAAGCCTGCGATGGAAATCGTAAACAAGAGTCTCGTTTACGCGAATTGTGGATTGGCGTGATTTTTATCCCGCGTTCCTGGGAGTCCTTCCTGTGCCTGTTACTTGAACAGGCCTGTTATGTGGGGTCGTGAAAAGACACATCTATCTCCCCTCTATTCTGCCCTTATCAGTTTCCACTTGCAACGCTATATCCAGTTCTGGACACCACATTTCAAAAACAATCGGGAACTGGAGTTCAACGGAGTTCAGCGGAGGAGGGTGAGGGGCTGGAAACCAAGTCCTTTCAGGAATGAATAAAGCAGTGTTTCTCAACCGTGACAATTTTAAGGCATGTGGACTTCAACTCCCAGAATTCCACAGCCAGCATTGCTGGCTGTGGAATTCTGGGAGTTGAAGTCCACATATCTTAAAATTGTCAAGCTTGAGAAACACTGGAATAAAGGAATTAACCATGTTAATTTGCAAAAGAAACGACTGAGAAGGGATAATAGTGATCAACAGGAACAGGATAATAATGATCAAATATCTGAAGGGTCTATCACACAGAAGAGAGGGGAGGACTTACTAGGTTAAAACTACATGGGAGTAGGCTCAGGGTAGATAACAGGAAGTTCTTTGTTGAGTTCCCCAACAATGAAATGGGCTAACACAAGAAGTTATAAGTTTTCTTTCATGGATGTCTTGAAACAAGCCTTCAGTGGTTATCTGTGAGAGGCGCCCTAATGCAGCATTTTCCAATCTGGACAATTTTGAGATGTGTGGACCAATTCTCAGAATTGTAATCATATTTGCTGGGAAATTCAGGGAGTTGAAGTGCACATATTACAATGTTGCCTAAGTCTGGAAATTCTGCACTAAATAGGAGCTGGACTAGATGACCCTCTAAGATTCCTTCCAAGTGTATGATTCTGCAGGCTCCTCTTCCTATTTGACATGTTTCATGTACTTTATTACTGAGCACTTGAAACTGAACTTATGAATAGGCTCTAATAGTGTCTAGCTAATTCAGTGTTCAGTTAACAACTGCTCTGTAGGCTTAACAAATGCAGCATTCACTTCGGAGCCATCACAGAAAAAGGCCCTAACATAAGATGTTAGGTGTCATGTGGTGTCTCACTTAATGACCACAGCTTACAACCATAATTCCAGGCTCAATTAGGGTCATAAGTTGAAGACTATGTGTACATGGATCTGTTCATGAATTCACCCAATGTTTAATCTGCAGCCTGCATGGGACTTTATTTAAAATGTTGCATAATTAGCAAGTTGTGACTTGTTTTGTTCCCAAAAAAGTTTCTATGTATATAGGATCAAAATAAAAGTAAACAATATAATTGTAATTAGAAAATGTTTATGATCAAATCTTATTTACTTGATCGTTAATCTTTCCTCTCTTTTTTATAAAACAGTTGGAAACCAGTCATGTCCAAGTAGAGTCTGATCAAATAAAAGAGAAGAAAAGTTTGGAATTATTTTCTGCAAGAGCTGTGTCTAAAAATATAGCTGGGTCTCAAGCAGTTGAGAAGAATTCTAAGCCTTTAGGACTCAGTGCCATTAATCCTGAGATTTTTCAGATACAATCTTTTCCAGGAACTGGATCTCAACAATTTTTCTTATTTAATTCTTCTAAACCTACAGTTCAACTATTTCTTCCGTCCCCCCTACATCCCCTTGGACAAGTACCAGTAAGTAAAATAATTACACATGGGCAGAAACATAAATCCATTATAAAAGGTAGGGGAGATTCTTCAAATGTTTCTTTGGTTTCAACTTGTTCAGCAAAAACCCTTGTAAATGAGGGGAAGCAGCCAAAAGAGCAAAAGATTAAAAAATCTTTGAAAGTGGCAACTCGTTCTGGGCGGATTTCTCGCCCTCCAAAATACAAAGTTAAGGACTACAAATTTATTAAAACAGAAGACTTGGCTGATTGTCACCCATCTGATTCTGATGACTATTCTGAGCTGAGCTTAGAAGATGATGAATGCAACAAAGTAAAGGAAGTATGTGAATTATTTAACCCCTTTAACTATGACCTGCGACCAAAATTGTTTAAGTGTCAGAACTGTGAAAAATCCTACATAGGAAAAGGCGGATTATCAAGGCACTACAAAATAAATCCAGGCCATGGGCACCGAGAGTCTTCAGAATCTTCTCCTATAAAGAGATTTTCTAGAATG